GAGACTATTTCAGCATTGTCAATTATGAACTCTTGGTGTGTTCTTATTTGGTGAATCTCGTGATGCAATGCTGCTGTTGGTTCGAGGTCAAGACTATCTGGACTCATATGCATGATGCTGTTTGATTGCTGAAGTTCGCTATTGCTCATCTTCCTTGCAATTTGGTATCGGAGTTGTGGTACGATTGCGCTCATCTGGCGCTTGTCTTCTGCCTTATGCGGTACATACATGCGGTCTGCTGGGCGAGTTTGGTCGTAAGTGGTGTGTAGTGAGGAGGGTGGAGACGAGTGTGAAGACAACCCAGGAGGTGAGGGGAATCGCCAGGAAGGCTACGAAAGTGTAATGTGGTTTGGACAGTGTGATGAGAACTATCTAATGTGCGACTGATGCTGAGGTGGAACGGCGAGTTAATGCTGGTTGTGCCGATGTAGTGACTGGTCATCGCAATCGCCATTTGGTCATCTGGTGAGATTATCTCTGTGGTTGGGGGCAGCAAATTGAGGTACGTTGCTCTTAACCTTATCTTCCCTCTACGACACTTCTTACCGTGAGGTTGTGTGTTTCTTCTTGAGAGTCCTCTCATCGCGAGGTGTCGAGTGGGCTCAACCTTGAGAGTCGGCAATGTTCACGTGGAGCATCTGGGTGGAGATGGGCGAAGCTTTCTGAAGGGCCCTGGACGAAGCACTGGGTCACGGTCACCATGCCAACCCACAGGGAGTAGAGCACGCATGCCTAGCTGCTTGTCCTTTGTTCGGCTTGCTGCGCTGTTAGATGGGTACTACTGGGCAGGCCAGCCCTACAGGAAAGACGAGCACCCGGCGTCTATAAATAAACACGGGAAGGGGAATCATTGGCTGTGATCGTCTTCCGACTGCGACGTAAAATAATTCATGGAGTCACTTGGGGGCGGACGTTAAATTGCCCCTGGATCAGCCAATGGTTGGAAGGCTCGCGACACGCCGAGGACAAATATACGTGCAAGGCTGGCCAGCTCAGTGGATAATCGGGGCACAGGGGTGGGCCGGATACACACACCTTTAGACACGCGACGCTCTCCAGATTGCTCAGGGACGCTGACGTCAAGAGATACTCAGGGGAACTAAGGGAGGGGTTGATTCCAGGTGATAAGTTCGAGAAAATTCCATGCTGTCCTATCCACACAAGTGATTCTATTTTTATGTTTTTGGATTAGTTAGATGGACTGCCATCGACATCTGATAGACAACTTTAGTTAGAACTGGTTATTGTTCCTGATGCTTCTGTTTGCGGACTAGTCAGACTAAAAATAGTTTCAATTGTAGGAATTTGACTTACCTGTTGACCTTAAGTGATATCTGTTCCGAAATAGCCACCCACTAATTAGTTGGTCTATGCACTATGTTGCGGTAGGCATCTTGAATGATCTAGTGTAGACAATGCACAGTGCTGTAGCCTATGAGTGACGAGGAGGACATCGGAGAGGACGACCGGAGGATCTTGCGATCAGGTAGATGCCCGATAGCCCACGTGTCCTTAGGACCGGAGGGTGATAGGATTCTGTTCCGCATAGGGAGAGGCAGCGGCAGCAGAGGAGGGCTAGAGCAGCCGAGGCCAGCAGAATTTTCGTTAGCGAGGCCGGTGCTACAGCAGCCATGGCCACTACAGCCATGGTCACTTCTGCGCAGCATACTTCCCAAGCTAGTAGATTAGGTGTCGTCGGGTCAACGGTCGCGCAGACCGTTAGTTAGTCCACTGGCGTTATGGCAAGTCAGGCCGCGGTGTTGACTCCAGAGCATGTCGCCATCCAGCAGGCAGCCCTGCAGGAGGCACAACTACAACGGGCATTAGGAGAGATAAAAGCGGAGAAAGAAAGGATGATCAGAAGAAGAGCCAGGATGCAGCGGAGAGGGGCAGACATAGAGGAGTTAGAGACGATGGACTTGACAAACATGGATGATGATGTGACGGTAGTTAGAAGAGCCCTGCTAGGCGTAATAGAGATGCAGGAGCATCAAACTACCATCCTTCATGACATTTAACAGAGCCTAGCCGTGTTGGCAGGCCGTGCTCAGGCAGCACCATCACCAGTCGGGCCTGGTGACTGGCCCGTGCCATATCCTCCTTTTTCTGTCCCACCGGTGACAGGGGTATCCCCATATGTAGCCCCGTCAACGGTAGCTATCGTTTCCCTGGGCATGCCGCTGTCAGGAGGGGTAACAGCAGGGAGTAGTTTGCAGGTTCCTGTACAGACAATGTACACCCAAACTCCGTCGCAGGTTGTAGCCACCACGCAGCCTGCTGTCTCGCAGCCTGTGCAGCCTCAGGGCACGCAGCCCCAGCAGCTAGCACAGCAACCTGTGTCACCGGGTCCACAGCCCAGAGTGGTACAGGGACCGGGACAAACTCAGTGGGTTCCAAAGACGGCCATCGCCGCTCCCAAACCTTTTACAGGGGACAAGAGAGGCGAAGACCTCGACACATGGTTGAGGTCATTGCCAGTGTATGTTAGGTGCAAACTACCTTGCCGCACGAAGAAGTGTTTGTGGCTGCATCATACCTAGAGGGTAGTGCAGCAAGATGGTTGAGCGGTTTAGTGCAGCTCCAGGGATATGGTCATGACTTCCACGCTTGGGCAGCCACCCAGAAACTGGATGACTTCCTAAAGATGGTAGAGGAGAGGTGGCACGATCCTCAGGAGGCTCAAAGGGCCACTGATGTGACCCTGACACTGCACACGAGGCAGTTTAAGTCAATAAGGGAAGCCACCGGCGTTGTTGAGCGTCTGATCTGTGTTCCAGGGGTGCGCTATGACCCCCAGGTCCTGCTGACTTCGTACTTGAGATGCTTTTCTCAACCTCTCAGGAACCAGTTGGCAAAAGAGGCCGACATCAATATGTACAACTTTCCTTCGTTTAGCAAGGTGGCCCTAGACCTTGAAGCTAAGATAGGGCATGGACAGGCACCCACTACGGATGGGAGGAAGAAGACACTGCCTCCCAACTGGAAGGCGAAGGGTCGCATCATGTTTATCGACAACGATGGTTCAACCATCGAGTTGGACGGCAACTTCCAGGAGGGAGTAGGTTCAGAGGCGGGCAACGTAGAAGCTTCAGAGGGTGGAGTAGTCGCTGCCGTTTCTCAAAAAGGTAAGGTGACCGGTAGACGCCGCGGAGGCTCACGGTTTAGGAGTCAAGTTGACCCCAATGCTCCTCCATGGGAGAAAGCGGGTCTTACAGAGGACGTGTGGAGAGACCGTTACTCACGGCAGGCATGTATTCGTTGTGGTTGATATGGCCACAACCAATTCAAGTGCCGCAACAAGAAAGTGACAGAAAAGATCCCGCCTACGATTGGGCAAGTGTTGGGATCCTGTCATCCTGTTGGTAGCAATGTTGCCAATTCTTCAGGCAGTGCTCTGGGAAACACGTCGGGCCAGTAGGAATTGTAGTTGTTATCGCTAGGGTCGAGGTGGTGGAGACACCCTCACCATCTCGAGAGATGGCCCAAGCTACTGACTCCAGTGTCGTCCCGCAAACACATTTAGACCCATCGAGCCTCTATTCGATGAATGTGTTTGAGTCCTTAGAGGAGCTAGATCAGACCCGCTAGCTTCTTGGACGGCCCTAGTCAAAGCCCCTAAGGGTGAGATGTTCGTCAGCGAGGTTGTCATTGGCGGACGCAAGGCCGGAGCCTATTATGACACTTGCTTGACTAGGAACTTTATCAGTCGCGCGTGCGTTGAGAGACTGCGCTTACAGGGGCAAGTGCAGCGCCTGAGTCGACCTGTGCCACTACCTCCAAAATGTGGAGTGTGTTTTCCCGTATGCGGAAGGGGACTTGAGACATCGCATCTCATTCCTAGTGAGCGATGAACTCCCCATGGACATGTTGTTAGGTATGTACTACCTCTCTGTGGCACAACCCCAGTTTGACTGGGACCGAAAAGTGGTCAAACACACTTTGCCAGGTGGAGGGACCGCCAGATTACACAAGTTCAAAGCTAGTAGTCTGATTGAGTCCTACGGGTGCATGTGTGCGGCCGCGTTCTATAATTATTATAAGCAAAATCAGGAGGAGGGTATGTACTTAGTTTATGTCTCTGCTGCAGGCGAGCCGATGAAAATGCCCCCGGAGATAGAGGGAGTAGTTGCTAAGTACCCTGATCTATTTGAAGAGTTGACAGGGGTTGTTGAGAGGGAGGTCGTCCACGCGATAGAGATTATCCCAGGGTCTAGTATTCCGAAGGGTAGGATCTATCGGATGTCTCCAGGCGAGCTTGATGAGCTTCGCCGCCAACTCAAGGAACTCGTAGAGAAGGGTTGGATCCGGCCGAGTGTCTCTCCTTATGGGTCTCCAGTACTATTTGTACCTAAGAAGAAGGAGGGTACACTTAGGATGTGCATTGACTATAGGGGCCTCAATGCCATCACTGTAAAGAACCGAGAGCCCCTACGCGCATCGATGATCTGTTAGATAGAGTGCAAGGGTGTCGGTACTTCAGTAAGATAGATCTGAGGTCCGGGTACCATCAGATTGCAATCCGGCCCGAGGATCAACACAAAACCGACTTTCAGACCAGTTACGGTCTGTTCGAGTTTGTGGTGATGCCTTTCGGCCTTTGCAATGCTCCTCGCACCTTTCAGCACGCTATGAATCGGATATTCCATGACTACTTGGATAAGTTTGTCATTGTGTACCTCGATAACATACTTATTTTTAGTAAGACTATCGAGGAGCAAGTTGCACATTAGGACAAAAAGTCCTCAGTCTCCTGCGGCAGCACAAGTTCAAGATCAATGGTGAGAAATGCGAGTTTGGCCGCACCCGTGTCTTGTACTTGGGTCATGAGATCTCCGCGGAAGGGTTGAAGCCCGATGACGCGAGGGTGGCCAGCATTCATGATTGGCCACGTCCTCAGTCTATGACTGAGATGAGATCTTTCTTAGGAATGACAGGCTACTATAGGACTTTCGTTAAGAATTATAGCAGAGTGGCCGCTCCTTTGACTTATCTGACCCGCCTTGACACCCCATGGGAGTGGACAGACGAGTGCGAGGCTGCTTTCAGACATCTGAAGCATGCGTTGACGCACTACGAGGTCTTGAAACTTCCTGATCCTGACAAGCCATTCATAGTAACCACGAATGCCAGCCAATATGGCATTGGCGTCGTGCTCGCGCAACAAGAGGGGCCAAAGTTGAGGCCAGTCGAGTACAAGTCAAAAAAGATGCCATCTCAGAAATTGGCAAAGTCCACCTATGAGAAGGAACTCTACGCCGTGTACAAGGCTCTGACCCATTGGAGACACTATCTCCTTGGGAGATTCTTCATCCTCAGGACTGATCATCAGACCCTGAGATGGATGAGAACTCAGCCCGTACTTTCTGACGCTCTGAAGCGTTGGATTGAAGTCATTGAGCAGTATGACTTCGACCCCCAATATCTCAAAGGGGAGTACAACAAGGTGGCTGATGCCTTGTCACGTAGACCTGACTTTTCAGAGGACTGTTGAAGCTAAGGAGGACCGCGTTCGGTTCCGGCATCACACTGATCCGAAGGAGGACCGCTGGTTCACCAGGGAAGAGCTCATGCAGACCGCTCCTCAAGTTGTAACTCAATATGAGAGATCTCTGCAAAAGGGAAAGTGCCCTATGATCGAAGATTGAGCTTCTCAGAGGACTGTTGAAGCTAAGGAGGAGGGAATGCGAGGCCACTGCCTCTAAGAGCCTCATAAGGCCCCAATTTTGCAGCCCGTCGGCCGCCCTAAGTGAAGGCAGGTTCGACGAGGCCCAAAGGGCCCTTTTCTGGCCACCACGCAACTCAGGGAAATTCAGGCAGTTGCGCAGCGCCAATTGGTTGAGTGAACCCAGGCCTTGGGCCGCCTGTGTGAATGAATGTGAAACAGGCCCTGGGCCGCCTGTGTGAATGAATGTGAAATAGGCCCTGGGCTGAATACGGGTACCGGGCCAAACACTGGCCAAAGAAAGTTGGGCACAAACAACCACTTCAGGCCCAAGGCGTGCTTTCGACGTGTTGGGCCTCAGGCTACCGCGGCCTAATGGAAGCTTCCTGGGACTGGATGCAGGCAGGCCACTTCGATATAGGGAAGGGTCTGCCTCCTCATTCGGCATTCGGGTGCTGGCTGCATGCTGCGCAAGCGCTGCTGCGCTATTTGCTAGGGCGAGCAGGGAAGGAGCACGCAGCCATAGCCGAGCTGCGCTGCTGTAAGTTGGGTGAAGCGCATGGTTGTCCTTGGGTGCTAGTGGCATCTGTGAGTTGGGGAACGAGGTTGTGAGTGTAGCGCGAGACATACCTAGTGCTGGAAGCGTGCGACATTGGTCGCCATATGCTCGTACTTCGGGAATGTTGTTGATGTCATCTTTCGGCTTCATAGTATAGGCTAGATAGGAT